ACACACACACACACACACACACACACACACACACACACACACACACACACACACACACACACACACACACACACACACACACACACACTACAGTGCGACCATACCCGGTAATAAAGTCGTTTAAGCCGCAGTATGACTGGAGCCCCCCAAATTAACTGCAGGATGTGAGCTGGTGACAGACACCACATACCGAAGCATCGCACAAAGACCCGCAATCAAGCTCAATTAGAGATAACCCGCTAATTACAGACACACACCACCCGACTCAAGGGGACACATTAAACCCCGACACTGAGACACAAAGACTAGTGTGTGCGTGCGCGCGCGTGTGTGTGTGAGATCTGGGGGTGGGGGTGCAGCCGGGAGTCACGGTCGCCACCATGGGCTGATAAGTAGGTCGAGTGCAGGATTTCCTACCGATCACCCGCCGTCACCGTCTCACTGGAGATAGCACACGCGTACACAAACACGCACACAAACACACACACACACAAAAGCATGTACGAAAATGCTCCTGTGTACGCACGGGCTCCCCGGTTAACAAAGGATCTGACGCTCGTGCTTACCGTGGCGGTGTGAGCGAGCAGAGCCGCAAGCGGCAGTAGCCAGGGCAGCTTCATGATGGGGTGCGCGGGCACAGCCTCGCGGTGCCGCTGCTGCCTTCACGGGGTTCGGGGAGGTGGGGGGGAGGAAAAGCTGCTGTCGATGTCTCGGTAGTCTGTCCAACTTCAGAGCGCGCAGCCCGTCCGCGCGACCATCCTTCCTTCTAGTCGGGGGATTTATTCCAAGGCTTCACGTGCAGCTGCTGCAGGTAACCAGGAGAGCATGCAGATATCCGCGAGGCGTCTTCTCCCTGTTCTCTTTCTGTTCCTGCGAGTTTTTGTGCTCGAGACCTGATAGATTTACTACCAGGAGACGCCAGAGCTCGTCTCTCTCTCTTAACACACACACACAGCCTCTCTCTCCCTGTCCCTGTTCTCACACTCAGCTCTCTCTATCTTTCTCTCTCTCTCTCTTTCTCTCTTTCTCTCTCTCTCTCTCCTCCCCCTCTCCGTTGAGGGCAGGATGTTCCGTATGGCAACGCTGCTTGGCCTGGGAGTCTGGCAGAAGGAGGGGTGTGTGTGTTTGAGAGAGAGAGAAAGAGCGCATAAGTGTGTGTGTGTGTGTGTGTGTGTGTGTGGAGAGAAATAGGGGATCTCCGCCAGCCAGGACGAGGATGCCCCCTGCAGCTCATTTCGGCACCCGCAGCCCCATCTTAAACACACACACACACACACACTTTTGTTTCGCTCTCAGGTGCTTCCGGTTGGCTGCCCGCCGTCTTAACACACCTTTACGGCTCAGCTCCGGTGCTTCGCTGTGATTGGCTGAGTCACGGTCAATGCATTACAAAACACTCCCAGATGAGCTCACACCTGTCGTACTAACAATAATTAATATTTATAGGCACTGTGGCCTACTTGTGTCGCCTAGCAACCGTGCAGTTAAGCTCAGGGACAGTTTAGGAATATCAGCCTTGAGTAAAAAAGAAATAAAAACAAATTGCCCAACACCTCATTTTTGTAATCGCCCACTGTAGATCATACCTAACCTACTCATTTGAAGAGGACATGTATTTTTTTCGCTGCCATTTATCTGGCAACATTGGGTTTTGTTAGAATATTATAAGCACCTGCATATGAAAGGTTCTGAAAAATCTCTAAAGAATATCCCAAAAATATATACATCCACAGTTTTAAGAGGGTAGGTAAAACCGACCCAGATCACATTTTCACAAATCATCACTCATAGACTTTTAAATATTATATCCAAAGCTGATTCCTAAATACTGATTGGAAGAATATTTCCAAATCTCTAACACAGTTTCATGTTTAATCCACATACCACCTTTTTCTGTTTCCATATATCAAGGCCGAATTTACCATGTACATTGGGACACACACATCCCCCCCAATATTCAGATACGCTCAAAATTGTATATAATATTACCTGTACATTTACATTTCTTGGCCAGAACCAAGCCCACATCTTGAACTTGTATTCCTCTATCTCCCTGTACTCAATTGGTTCCCTCATTCAACCTGTCCTCCTCACACCTCTACTTGTGTTTTATTTATGTTTGTTTTTTATTTTGTTCTGTCTTCCTGCATCTTTCCTCCTGTCTCACTAGTTCCAGTCTACTGCAGTAGATTACTCAGGATTAGTTAAAGGTAGGTTAAGAGCACAGGGCTAAACTTAGAGTTAGCAGCATTTTGGTGGAGGGGAAGGTTAGGGTTCTGAACATATAAAGAGTTTGGAAACCAATGTGGACTCTAGAGCCAACACCATTGTTCTCTATTGCAATGCTGTTCATTCTCACCATTAGCAAAGTTTTTTAGCTCTGTGCTAATTCCCCAAAACCATGCCTGACAAATTAAAAACAACCAAAAATAGACAACACTATTTTGTACTGATTTCGTACAGTAGTACATCATATTCAGGTCCCATCAAAGGGTTGGGTGCTGCTAAACAAGCTATTGTATGTTATGACCTTAAGGAGAAAACCAGCAAAAGCTTATAAATCGTTTTCCTCACCTCATGGCTGCAGGGTCAACTTCCTGTTTAATGTTTGCCCCGCACACATAGTGATGTCAGACCAATGGAGACTTTTTAAAAAGTGTGGTTTCAAAGCTAGGGCTTAGCAAAAAGAGAAAATAAACTCTGTTAAGTTATATGTTTTATTTGTCCCTCAATTCCCTACTGCTCAAGGACAGTTACAAGGGAAAACAATATCATGTAATCATTGTTTAAAGGCACCATCTGTCATTGAAAAGGTTAATACCAATCATTCAAAGCATTTAAACTAAAACCTGATATCTTAAATTGATGTTAGCTAATTCAACAACTGACACGCTACAACTGCTTTTTAATTGAGCTTGAAAGTGATCTTTTATCGTCTGTTTGACTTGTATTGACACCCTGTATCACACACTAACATATATAGGAATTTGCATCTTGTTAAAAAAGACAAGAGCAGTAATAACCCAGGACACAGTTTAAGGTTGTGTTTACTTTGCAATGAATCAAAGTGCCACAAACATAATTACAAACACAGGCGTTGGGGATCACTGAGGGTCAGAGCCTGGGGGTAGTCACAACGGTTTTAACATGTTTGGTAATCCATAAAACAGCAGCTTGAGTTTAGTTTCAGGGTTTAAAATCACTGCAGGTAATGCACCATCAGTCCTCACATCCTGAAGGGTTTATTATTGTTATCCTCTTTAAGAAATCAACAAAGCCATGGGATTACTGCCATCATCACACCCAAACTGCCTTGTTTTCAAAGTAACATCCTGGCTGTTCCCACCTATGCTCCAAACAAAAGCTGGACAAGTGAGGGCATGATTTGTTTTGTCCTCATGTTTCTTTAGAAGATACAATTAGAAAACCACATGAGGGATGGTATGATTTAAAAAACACCCGACCCCACCCTGCAGTAAAGTCTGGGAATCCTTTCTTTGGATCCCCATTAGCTTCCTAGCATACAAAAGACCTGTACAAATGTTAACAGTTAGACACAAGAAATAGTTAGCGTTCAGTTTAACATCAGTTTTTTTAGGCTTTTAAAGCATGTATTAGATTTTTCCAGGGTTCATTAGTAACTTGTTCCACATTTTGATGGTTCTAAACATTACAGTTCTGCATCTTTTCTAGGTTTTGTTTTACTAAATAATCCCTAGTAGCTTTATTGCTAGTGTGAATGTTGGTATCATAAATATTTGGTTTGTTTACTACACAGATATATATAAAGCAACTCATTTTACTGCATGCCAACCTATCCTCTACTTAAGAGCAGAGAGCGGCTGGCATGCATATCGCTGTGCTCTGCCTCATGCCTAATCTCTTTTTAGGGTCATTACTCATGTCAGAAGTATAATTATTATAGTACACTTACATTTGCTGCTTGCCATGCTAAGATGCCAGGCCTATTAATCAGTCACATTTATGAAGAAACTAGAGCAAGCTCTGACTCACGCTGTGTGTTGCAGTGTTATCAGTGCGAACACATTTATTCAAATGGCTGCAAGAGAAACTGTGGCACAGATCCCGATCCTCTTTCATAAAACACACACTTAAAATAAGAAAAACAGCAATCTGCAGCTCTGTCCCTTCACCCTGTGTGAGCGTCACAAACAATAAAAGACACTTGAGACGGTTACATTTTCAAAGATTTTTTTGTTCAGTTTGGTTTCAAAATAAGATCACACAATTGTTTAGAGACAATCTACAACAGGAGTTACAAAAAATAGTTGCCCAGGCAATAAGCATACACAGGTTCTGTTAACTATACACATATGGTTACAGGTGTGCTCGTAGTAAATATACACAAGGCTGCTCCAAATGTACACCGCGCTGTGGCGGGCTGCCTCTCTCACCCAAAAGGACATGGACAGTATGATACAGCACTTACAGCACTAGAGAAATGCCAAAAAACACAAGAATCTCCTCTGTACAATCCATGGGTTTACCCCTCTGAAAAGTCATGTAATCGAGGGGTTTGGGGTTAAATGAGTAAAAGTTATTTCTCCCAACCAGCCAGCATACACATGACACTTTTCATGGGGTAAAGCATTCCTATAAAAAGATCTTAAAAAAAGGTCAAAAACAAAAAAACCTTCAACATAAAGCAGAAGACACTTTAAGTCTAACAGAACGTGTCCAATTGGGAGTCAGTGGGAGAACGACGTCTTAAGTTAAGCAGTGACAAGATAAAGATAAAACCAAGCGTGGCGAATCTTTGTACAAGTACTACGCTGTATAGAAAGGGCTTTTCAAAACAAAAATTTGATATTACAATTTACAATATACAACAACTCAATGTCACAACCAAGGAGGTGAGAATATACACTGAAATGCACAGGGTTTTTTTTCTAAGATTTTCTGTCAGAGTGAGCTTTTTTATCTTTTTTCTTCTCATACCAAAAAGGGTGGTAAAGCACTTTTACATTACAAGGGTTTACAAATGTACAATTATACAGTCAGAAGTATGTGGTCACTACTAGGATACATTATAGATACAGATTCAACATCAAAAACCAGAAAAACTACAAAGTTTTATATATATATTTATATATATATGCAAAGGTCTACACCAAGTATACACGTTATATTTATAGAAGCAAGACCAGAAAACGAATCTCCCATGCTAAATGATCTGTCTGCTGGTTAGCTGATGGCGTGTGTGTCTATGATTCTGTGACGTCTGACAAATTAAATACTCGTCCATCTCATAGTGGTAAATATCTAGGATGGGGGGGGAGGAGGGGGACACTAGGATTGTGTGTGCAGCAGTAGCAAAAAGTGAAATGATTTTTAGAGTTTATCAGAAGCAAGGAAACGAAAGGAAACAGGAAAAAAAGGAGGGAGTGGAGCGGCCTCTCTTCTCTCTCTCCACTCCCTGCCCTCCTTCCCCCAGTTCAGTGGGCCTGGGCTCAGGTGGGGGAGGGGCGACAAAATCTGACAAAAACTAAGGCTGCCCGTAGCAACAGGCTCCTCCCGAGAGGTTGTCATGGAAACAAAAAGGTAAGAAGAAGGGTACTCAACGTCCTCTGTGAACAGGATTTGGAGGGGGAGAGTGGGCATGATGCCCTCTGAGGGGTCAGGAGACATGAGAGCTTTTAACAAGGGCTAAGTGGAGAGGGAGGGGGTGACAGACATGACTTCAGGCCGGAGGGGAGGGAGGGGGAGTCAGTTTACATGATGCCGTTGGGCGGGCCACAGAGAGGACCCAGGTCCACTCCGTTCTTCATGTAGTACTTCTCCAGCTTGGCCAGGATGTGTTTTCCATACGTGTATTTCCTCAGGGTGGAGATGTGGGGCCGTATCTGCACACACACACACACACACAATGTTCAAACTGGATCTGTGCACTCCCATCACCCCCTGTTCTGGTGTTTGCCCTTCTGTTGTGCAGGCGTCACAACCACAACACCAACAAACCACTATTCTGGAAATCAATGACGTGCTGTGCGTATGCTGTTGCCTAGGGAACCCTTGACAGAAAGAGACCTGATTTATTGACGGGCAGGAAGTGAAGGGTGGGGCTGATGGCCCGACAGAAACATGCTTTTTGTCCCCCCAAGGGAAGAGATTGATGTTTATCAAAACAAGATTTATAAGACATAACTTGGACAATAGTTTGTGGTTTTCCGATCTGTACATTTCCAGCCAGTCAATTCGGTATCATTCTAAATGTATACAACTCCATGTAATGCCTGTCAAAATGTATAATTCCTAAGATATCACTGCAGCTTTGTAGCTCCAAATATGGAATTATTTTGCAGAACAAGAGCATTTGTACTTGAAATAGTTAAACATAACTTCTACAACTTCATAAAAGCAATCGATAAGGGCTGCAGCCAATAACCCTAAACAATCAATTAATCCAGTTATTGTATATAAATATATTTGCTTTATTAAAGAACTTAAATGCAAAAAAAGATTAACAAAGATAATAAAAATGATACATATCCCGTAGGATACTCAAGGTAGTATAATTTAAACTGATCTAATGTGTAAGAATGAAACCTTTATATTACTCAACATATTTCCAGGTATCCTCCTCCCTACGTTCTCCTCCTGCAGTCTGCATCGTCTCCTCTCTGCCGCGCTGCTTGACTAAAGCTGAGCTCTGAGACGGCAGGCTGCCTGACAGCTCCTCTCCTCACTAAACTGTATTTTAAAAAGGCTGACCAAAGCTGTCAATCATGTTAATAGAGCATCGCCCAGCGTGTCACATCTGCCAAGTGCAAGATGTCCGATGATACCACCAGAATAATTCCAGTAAAAACATTGGAACTGAAGGGATTAGGAACAACCTTATCTTATTATGATGGGACCTTTTTGTTCCCACGTACCTTGTGCATAACGATCTTGCGCTGGGTGGGCTCGGCCACGTCGATCATCTTCTGCACCACGTAGTTGGCGTACTGGTCCTTCATCATGGTGTATAAGGCACTGTGGGGGCCCTCAGTCAGGCTGCACACCTCGTCTATCAGCACTGCCCGCTCCGCCCGGGACGCGTGGGTCACACACTTCTCCACCACGTTACTAACGAGAGGAAGGGAGTTGTGAGCATAAATGTATATTCAAATCAGACTCCCTTTATTTGTCCCGCAAATGGAAAATGTACAACAGCAGAAGTATAGTGCAGATAAAGTTAAGAGAATAGACTTACTACTTACTTTGCACTTAAAAAAACAACAAAGTAGGCACACGTTATTAATAAAAAAACACAATAAGTAAAAAACAATAGCAGATAAGTAAACTATGGTAAAAAGGTTAACAGTAAATATATTTTTCAAAGTGACCATATAAAATTAAAGAGGAAGCTGGTACTGTTTACAGATTGTAAATAAAAGCGTGGATTGCACGAGAAAAGAAAAGAAAGAAAAAGAGTTTCATTTGTGGAGAAACTAAAGAAACACTTTTTTTTTAGGGAA